CCACCAACGAGCGTATCCTCATGCAGCTCTTGAGGCAAAACCGGATCATGGAAGAAGGATTCTCGTCCTTGATTCTCACGATGAGCTCCATGGACAGAAGAGTGTCGGCAATCGAGGCCATGCTTAGTGCGCGCGGAGCTTCAAGCTCGGGAGCAGGAAACCAAGGTACACCTAAATCTCAATCCTTGTTTGCCTTCTGACTTGATCAAATCCCCACCCTACGCTTATTAGGAAACAAACATATCCTACATTTCCCTAATTTGACGATAAGACTGCATCATAACCGGGAACAAGGGGAGTGACCTGTGTCTATGCTTCGGAGATGAAGCTTCACAGGGGGGGGGAGGGTGTAACACCCTGTGTTACGGCCTCCAAATCCAGATTAATTATGGAGTTAATTCCGTTAATATATAATTAAAAAGGTTTAATTGGGCTAGAATTCCCTTAATTAATTAATATGGTCCACAATGGACCATGAACCCTTACCCTAGCACAGCCTTTAATCCCGTTGGGGATAGGGAAAGTGAGCCTTTACTATTCAGATTCTAATTAGGATTCCTGAATCTATATATAGGGGATTAGAAAGCATTTAGAAACCCTACCACGAATAGCTTTGCCACCTGAAATATTCTCTCAGGTAATCTAGCAAAATAATTCCCTCTACCGAGCCTAGGGAGGATCAATTGGAAAGAGATCTTAGAGAAGAACCTTAGTATCCAAGGTAATTCGATTAAGGACTAAGAGGTAACCCATGTCTTACAAAACCTATTTTCCTTGCTATTGTTTATTGATTGGCTCCGATTGAATGATTGATTGTGTGATTTTGTATGTTTATCTTGTTAGAGCTTGTCTTTAGGTTTATACGATGAATTCTTGTTATTCTTGATGTTCTTGATGACTCTGTGTGATTATTGGTCTGATCTTGTATTTAATTATGTCTAGAGCTTTTCCCTAGGGTTTATATCGTGAATCTCGTGTTGTGATGTTTTTGGTATTCTTGGGTGGATTTATGCATCCTCAGGTGTTGCTTCTAGTCTAGGACTTGTCTTTAGGGCTTTGCATATAGATTTATTGATATTCTTGACGTTCCGGATGCTCCTGAACCGTTACGTGATTGATGTCGAGTCTTGGCATGCTTAGGAATCGTGTTAGAATGTAATTGGGATGATTCTTGGTTAAATCATTGTTAATCAAATCCGTGTGGTTGTTGATACGTTTTGGAATGTGTTTGGACATGGTTTTGGGTTCCACGAATGAACACCGAACCAAAGTTACCTTCGTACCAGTGGGGGGTAGGTGGGAGGAGACGAACACCCGCCACCTACCCACGGCAAGAGCAGCCCGATTCTAGCAGGCAGTTGGCGGGCAATCGACCGCCCACCGGGCACCCGCTGGAATCATGACCGGCACCGGCGGGTGGTCCTCCACCCGTGGCACACCCACTGCAAAGTGGTGGCACGACCGGTTGTTTTCCCCCATTTGTTGTTTCTCCGTGTCCCGTTGTGCCCCGTTGTACCCCGTTCGATGTTTATGAGTCTCATATGATGTTTTGAGTGTCGTTCCAGGAATTTATGTGTAGTGTGTATCGTTGTTATCATACCTTGATGTTATTGTTGATTATATGTTGTTTGATTGAATGATGATGGGTATTGTGATCATTGCACAATGATGGTTGAGATCGATGATAATGAGATTGTGATTGGTGGAAATGAATTGTTGGCGGATAGCACAACGAGTGCTCAGTTATCGTGCTAAAGGCACGGACCACCCCTTAGACTTGCAGGCTAAAGGCTTGGGTCAGGGTATAAGCGTCGCGGTGCCATGTCAGAGCTATATGCGTTGACCCCTTGGTAGTGGTGCTAGAGGCACGGATCATGCAAATGGAACTTCGGTGCTACCATGTTGGTGGACTTGTTGGCGGTATGTCGATGGGGGCCATGTAGTTGCCCGAAGGGATAAGGGTGGCCTGGAGGTACATGTTGGAACTGATATAAGGATGGAGAGGAGTAAAGGTTGGAACTTGGTATAAGGTTGGAAGATGGATTGTGTGCTCTGATGGTTACTTGCTAATTGATTGTTATTGGATCCCATTATTGCCTTTAATTGCAATTTATGAGCTTACTTGCCTATTATGCCTTATCTTGTGTTCTTAGGACACATGATAGTGTTTATGATTGTTCTATAGTGTCAAGTTTGTTGTTGTGTCTTGAGTCTTGATCTTGGTTTAAAGCTAGAGTTGCTTAGGTTATATATGTATTCCGGTTTCAAAATGATTTTCCAATATCTACCTATATTGTACTTAACGCGTGGGAGTGGGTTACTCAGCATTATTCGCTGACGGCTGCTACGATATGTTTTTTTCAGGTAATGATCATTAGCTAAGGAGCGCGCTAGATGGAATTGTAGTTTTGGCTTAATTAGTACTAGTAATAGCAATGGCATGCGTGCCTTGGATTGTATTTAACTTATTGATTCCACATGATTTGTAGTTTAGCCTGTGCATCTAGGTTCACAAACCTAGGTGTGACATAGCACCCCGACTCTTACGGATAGATTACGCTCTGTTTGGACATTCAATGATAGATCGTGTTATTTATATAAGCTTTTAAATGTTTTAAAAATTAGGGGTGTTACACACAAAGACGATGAAAGTACGGAAGCAAGTGCAAGATTTTAGACAAGGATCAACTAAATCGCTAAGTAAAGCGTGGAGAAGATTCAAGACATTGAGAAGACAATGTTCGCCCGATTTATTGCACCCGTTGGATGTAATCAGTTCGTGTTATGGAGGTTAGACCGATGAGAGTAAAATGCTCTTGGACTCGTCTTCGAGCGGAGCATTTGTTTCATCATCACCCGTAGAAGCTGAGGCGCTAATTGAACGCATCTCTTCTAATACTTCCTTCTGGTACAATAGGAGAGACACTAGAGCGGGGATGTATGAAGTATCTGGGAACGTAGCCCAAGACACGAAGGCGCGAAGGTTGAGGCCATGAGCCGAGAAATTAAAAAGTTACAAGAAATGATCCAGAAGATGGAATCTAAGAATAAACCGAGTATGGCCCTCACATTGTATTGTAATATCTGTGGTGGGGCACATGATACAACCATCTTTACATCACCAAGTGCTACAGAAAACACGGATGAGTTAGTATATGTTCAAGGACAACAAGGAAATTACGGTTGGAAGCCAACCCAAGGATGGAACCAAGGAGACTCATCGCAATGGAAGACCCAAAATTTACGAGGCAGAATACCTGCTTATGGTCAAGGTAGAGATAGGGGCTCAATCACCTATAGCCCTCAATCTGGAGGAAACAACAACGCACTTTACCGACCACCACATATCTCCCAAACCGATGTGCGACCTTATCAGTCAAAGATAAGAGAATTGGATGACAAGTTTTCAAGGGCGATCCAGGAATTGAAAAATGGTAGACTTTTGCTGAAACAAGAAATTATTCAGGAATGTAGACAAGAAATGGCCGCAATGAGACTGTAACACCCCTAAAATTCAAGGTATTTAAAACTTATAAAATAAAGGCGAATCCAATGATTGAATCCCAATTAGAGCATGAAACTATTCATAAGAGTCGGGGTTTTATGCCACACCTAGGTTTGAGAAACTAGGTGTACAGGCTAATCTAACTAAGCATAAGAAATCCTCAAATCAATATTTAATACAATCCCAAGGCACGTAGGCCAACTACTGAGCTAAAACTAACTAAGCTAAGTCCAAGGTTCTGACTAGCGCGCTCCGAAGCTAAAGCTCATCACCTGAAAAGCATTCGGCATAACAACCGTCAGCGAATAATGCTGGTAACCCACTCCAATGCGTTAAGTATAATATAGGTAGATATAAGAATCTCATTTTGAAACTGTTATACATATATACTTACGAGACTCTAGTTTAAATCCAAGATCAAGACTAAAGGCATATTAACAGACTCAATATCATAGAATAATCATAAGAACTAATATGCGTCTTAAGCATGCAACGCAAGACATAACATGCAGATAATCATGCAAATAACGAGTAGGGGCAACTAAGGCATTCAATACAATAAATTAGCAAGTAGTGAACAAATCACACAATTCATCCTCCAACCTTATACCAAGTTCCAACCGTATAATTCCCCTCCGTCCTTATATCAGTTCCAACCTATACCTCCAGGCCACCCTTATATCCCCACCCCTTATGCCTCCGGGAAACTACATGCCCCCACCGACGAACCCACCTTTCAACCACCAACATATCAAGATGGTGCCACAGTGCCATTCAATGATCCGCACCTCTATGCCAATATCAAGGGGTCAGCTGTTAGGAATAAATTGTAATGGTTTTTATATGCCAAATATGTATTTGTAGATCCCCCAATTTTATTTTATAGGTCTAGTAGAGTCTAAGACAATGATCGGGAAATTATTTAAATTGCAAAAGAGAAAAACATAGGAAGATGCATGAAAATAGTAGAAGAAGATATCAAGCCGAAAATCAAGAATTTGTCTGGAGAAAATGACAAATTGAAGAAGAAGTTGAATGATATGAAAATCACGTCAATGCTACTCAAAGAGATATCCCAGAATTAAATTTGGAAGATTGCATGAATTGGACTTGGAGATCAAGCATCTATGGAAAGAAAGGAGTACATCAAATATGATTGGAGATTTAACTAATAAGCTGTACAGACGAAGTGGAAGATGCCTGATTTATTATGCAAAATGGCTCAAGTTCAAATCTCACCATCAACAACTTTACAAGGTAAAATTTGAGAAGCTAAAATTAATTAAGTCTGATGGAGTTGGGCGCTAGTTTCTAGTTTGTAAATTACAAGTGTGGGAATCAATTCAAGTTGGGAGTCAGGAATTGAGATGAAATTCAATACCCCGAGAAGTCGGGAGCTAATTTGGGAAACGGGGAGCCAATTACAAAGGAGAAAAAGTTCAAAGCCAGTTCTCGAAATGGGAGCAGGTTTGAAAAAGGATCTTAGAGTGTCTAGGGGAGGGTCTCTTAACGCCTTCTTTTTTTCATCGGAGTTCTTTCACAAAGACTTGCCAGGGTAGCGGGTACCGTAGTAGGTAAACTTGAAGGGGAAAGAGAGATTACTTTGGGCTTTGTTGACTTACTACGTTGGGAGGAAGTATTACAGGTCAAAGTGCCTGAAAAAGGAGAAATTCAAACTGGGAGGAAGTATTACAGGTCAAAGTGCCTGAAAACTGCCAATTACAAAGGAGAAATTCAAATTGGGAGGAAGTTCAAAGCCAGTTTGAAGTCTGAAAACACCCAGACGTGAGAATGAAGAAGATGAAGTTGAACTTACAGTGAAAATATTCTCACAAGGAAAAATACTAGTTTAACTAGTATGGGATTAAATTGAAGAATATTTTGAAGTATTTAAATCCCAAAGATACAAGGACCACTTCAGAGCTAATCAGAGAAGCCGTTCTACACACACCGTTCTACACACAGATATTCCCACTCAACGTAAAACCAGAGGAATATCAGATGAAGTTTGGGAGCTCATTTACATGGAGTTGAAGCTCTCTCTCAAACGGCTAGCTTATCCTTTCTGACATCTTTGCAGAAGATAAGATAAGATCTCTGACAAAAGATACAAGATTTCAAAAATGAGATCGTCTCTCTCCAACGGACAGATTCTCATTACCAGCTATAAAATGATGAAGATATGAAGACTTGAAGATCAGGGGAACGAATAGAGCAATAGAGCAAGATATACGAGCAAAGAGCTAAAATCTCATTTGGTACAGAGCATACCAAAAATCTTCAAGTGAGAAGTGAGAAAAGAAAAAGAACTCAAAGAGCTTCAAGAGAAAAATATTCTGAGAGTTCTTAAATAGAGCAAAGCAGAGCATAAAAATCAAGTGCTTTACTTGATACACTCAAAGAGAGAAAACACTCAGATCATTCAAGAGAAATCATTCCAGAGTGTTTTATCTTCATCAAAGAGACCTGCGCATCATTGAAGATCAACTGCAGAGTCTCGAAGTTGGAAGCAAGACAACACTTGTTTTGGAGCAAAACAAGAGAAGGGAGGAAAGTAGCACGGAGCTGTGAAATCCTGGATTGTCACACGGAGCTGTGAGATCCGAAGCAGCAGTGTCGGAGGCACTGGGCGTGATTAGTGCGGGCTTTGTGATCAAAGCACTAGATCACTGGATGCGTTTCTACCGAAGTGTGGAAGACGGGGGAAAGTAACGCGGAGTCGTGAAATCCTGGGATAGTAGCGCGGCGACGTGAAACCCGAAGCAGCAGTGTGGTGTCACTGGGCGTGATTAGTGCGGGCTTTGTGATCAAAGCACTAGATCACGGAAATTCATTGTATCTTGGAACCAAGAAGTGGTGGATATAGTGAATTGCTCTTGGAGATAAGAGCAAGTGGAGTAGGAGGATTACACCACCTCGCGAACCACTATAATTGTCTTGTGTTCTTTACTGCTTTCTTTACTTACTGCTCTTTAAATAATTGCTCTACACGAGATATACTGCTCACACAATTTCACACACACTTTATGTTTAATTATTTCCGCTGTGCACCATACTCTAACAATCTAGTTAAGAGTTTTGGTTTATCTCTGGCTTACCAATTGTTGTGCTGTGCGAAAAAGTTTGAAAGTCTATTCAACCCCCCCCCCCCCCTCTAGACTTTCACCTTACCTCTTTTGGGACCAACAATTGGTATAGAGCTTGTAGCCTATTTGAGTCAGTTTATACCAACCTTTGGTATTAAAACACGTTGCCTAATTAGGTCAACTGTTTTTGACTGCTAGGCTGATCCATTCTACAAAGTGTGTGATTGGATTAATCTTTCATATCTCTCGTGATGATGATGAAGAAAGATTTAGCTCAAAATCTATTATTCTCACTTGATAAATTTGATGATTGGAAAGTTCGTATGCAGGTACACTTATCGGCTTTACACGATGAAATGTGGGAAGTTGTTTCCACTGGCCCTATCGAAATATTAAAAGTCAATACGGCATTTGTTATATCCCCGGATGCTCCACAGTACGTACAAAAGCCAAAACCGGAATGGACATCGGATGATAGAACGCGGAATAATCTTGACAATATTGCCAAGGATATTCTATTCAAAGCTGTAGATGATACAATATTTCCGAAATTCCGAAAGTGTGCTAATTGTAAAGAAATATGGAAAACTCTCATCAAGATTGGCGAAGGAGATGAACAAGAAAAAGACAATAAGCTCACAATCGCCATGAAGAAGTTTGAAGATTTCAAAATGCTCTCAAATGGAAGTGTTGCAGACATGGAAGCTCGAATGATCAAAGTTCTTGGAGAGATTAGTGATCTTGGCAAAAATATTAGCCAAAAAGAAATTAATCTCAAAATCCTACGAGGCTTACCATCTGCATGGGATATGAAGGTTACGGCTATGCACGATCACCGAGATCTAAGAATGTTGTCTATAGACAAATTATTTAGTGATCTAAAAGCATATGAGTTCGAAATGAAGGCCAAAGATGATGATGTTCATGAAGCTCGAAATGCTGCTCTAATGGCCGAACAACCGTCAACCTCCAGGTCAGTAGAAAATAATGTTGATTTTATGACTGACGAACAGTTTGCGCTTTTTGTTAAAAAGTTTAGAAGGTTTATGCGAAGAAGAGACAACAAAAATGCTCCGAGTGGAAATCAAAAATTCTCTCCTCGCACGACATATGAAGAAAAAGTCGAAGAAAACAAGGACTTATGCTACAATAGCCGCAAACCCGGACATTTTAAGATAAATTGTCCATATCCGATCGTCAGCAAGTATCAAGGCAAAAATGTTGAATCTACGCCAAACAAATCCGAAAGCAAAAGGTTCAAGCGCGACAAAAGAAAAGCTCTCGTTAGCAACAAACCAAACGAAAATGATGATTCCGAGGATTCATCATCAAGTGATGAAAGTTCATGTTCGGATGATGATACGACGCTAGTATGCAAATCAATTGAGTTGAGTACAAGTGAAGATTGTTTTATGGCTCTTGAAGCAGAGGAAGAAGAGGTAACATCTAATTCTTTCAATTCTGTTAATTCTTCTTTTTCTCGTGAATCTATTGATAGTCTAATGCGAGAATGTCAAGAGATTATGCTCACTCATCCTCAACTCAAGAAGCGCAATAATATTCTAATTCTTGAAAAAGAAGAAATGAATAAAAAATTGCAAGATGCTTTACTTGAAGTGAGTAAATTGAAGAATGAAAATATTCATCTTCAGGAAGAGTGTAAAGCAAGAGAGGTTAGAGAATATAACCTTCGGGCAACCATTGCTACGTTCACTAATTCGTCTAAAATTATAGATAAAATGGTGAGCATGCAAAAGCCATCAGGAGATAGAACCGGAATCGGTTATGACTCCACATGTTCTCAAACCCCTCAAAATCTGACTAATTCTACTGCGACTTTAAATAATAAAGTTCAAGTGGTAAAATTTGTTAAAAGTCAGAATAGCACAATGAGAAAAGGACTTGGCTATCATGAAAAAGCAAAGTTGAATGTTGAAAGGCCGAAACAAATCTACAATACGTCAAAGTAACAAAAATTCTTCAAGCAAAGATATGCCAAAGAGTCAAGTGCAAAAAGATTTCATAGAAAAGAGGGAAGCTTTTCTAGAAATAGAGTTGGGAGATTTTATCCCACTCAAAAGGATTGGTTATGCAATAGATGTAATGCTTTTTATAGACCAAAGCAACAATCTTCTCCCTAGGTGCCAAAATATAAAAATGTTTTTCAAAATCCGGCGCCAAAAATATTTTCAAAAGTGAGTTATGATTATCATGTCTCAAATGGTTACAAATAGCCTCATCTTAATTCAATATGATCAAGGTGGGTTTGGTTACCAAAAATCACTAACAGTAAAGGATCCAAGCAAGTATGGGTACCTAAAGTTAATTAATCTTTTTTGCAGGATGTTTGGTACATCGATAGTGGTTGCTCACGCCACATGACTAGAAATAAATCATATCTAGTGAATTTCAAAGAAATCGATGGACCAAAAGTTATATTCGGTGGAAATCAAAATTATGGAATCACAAAAGGAATTGGCACGATCAAGAAAAATCGAGTAAAGATTGAAGATGTTTCTTTCGTTGAAGGCTTAAAATTCAATTTGTTGAGCACTAGTCAATTTTGTGATAAAGGCTATCTTGTAGAATTTTCTAAAGATAATTGCCTAATAAAAAATGAGCTCACAAATGAGATTGTTCTATCTGGAAAAAGGCGAAAGAACATGTATGTTGTTGATTGGAGTACAAGCAAAGATTCAGTGTGCTTAATGGCCAGAAATTCGAATGAAGCTAATTGGGAATGGCACAGAAAGCTCAACCACTTAAACTTCAAAACTATCAATCAGCTTGCAAAGAAGAATCTAGTTGAAGGCTTCAAGTAAAGCATCTTTTAAGGGGGTAAGATTGTAATACCCGGTATTTTTCTGTCGTTATGCTTCGGGGACGAAGCATCTTTAAGGAGGGTAGATTGTGATACCCCGGTTATTTGAGTATTTTGTTATAAATATTATTATTCTAAATAAAATTTTATAAAATAGATATTATGTTAAATAAAATATTTTTACTATATGGTCTGTAATTATATTATTTTATGTGACCCAAAACTATTTAAACTAGTCTACTACTGCTACTCTTTTATTTCTAAACGGTGTATTATGGCTAATAATTATTTATTTATATATGTGTTACGTATGTATATATGTTAAGTACTAGTAGGCTAATAAGTATATTAATATTATATTAAGTTTTTAGGTATTGTAGTCTCCTACAACTAGAATTATTATTTATAATACAATTTATTAGTTAAGTGTTTAAGTAGTAGTCATATTGTTCCAGATAACCTAATTCAATATATTTTTCTATCTCTCTCTGTCGACAATCCCTCCTTTCTCCCAAACAAAAATAAAACCCTAGCAGTTTCTTCTTATCAATTAATTTCAAGAATTAGATGTCAAGATCATCAAGCTTAGGTGATTGCTTTTGGGCATTATTAGAGGTAAGATTTATGTTCACTAAAATCCTTTTACCCCAAATCAAAAATTGATTTTTCTAATTGTTTATGTGATTCATGATTTTAATGAATTTGTGATAATTAACGTGGGAAGTTATTTTATTATATTGTGTGAGTAGACATGTGCGTTTAGATGTTTTGGAATCCCTTAATATGTGATATGGTGATTTTATGGTGATTTAAAAGGAAAAATTGTACTCAATCTGAATATTGCCTGAGAAAATTCTGACTGGCGCAGCTGGAAAGAAAAATTCGTGAAAATTGCTTCCTAAACTTCTTTTTGCTTGAAACTTTTTATGGAGAACCTAGACTTGTTATAATTGATGTTTGTAAAAATTTTTGGTTAAAAATATGTTTCGATTTTTCCTGAAAAATTTCGTAAAGTGGAGGCAGTGTGCTGCCAGTTCAATTTCTGTCTGGCGCAGTGTTGGGAAATAATTCGGGAAAAATACTTTTAGACCTTGGATTGATTTGAAATTTTTTTTGTATAATCTAGACTCACTGTACCTTGTATCTGGAAAATTTCATCTGAAAATGTGTTACCAATATATTTCTATAAATTTTGCAATATAGGTCATACCTTCTAAAAATTTCTGTCGGTTCCTTATTTGAGGTGTTGAGAATTTGTTTGCTTGAGAAATATCAGTAATGTTGTCACTTTTATAAAGATTGAGGATAAAGGAAATTGATTCTTAAGACTTGTGTAGTATCCTGTTGTGAAATTTTGGATACTTGGGTTATGACCCAGTTTGTTGTGGAGTGAGCGGTTGAATATATCGACTCACTAGGGAGCTTAAAAACTCTCTGTTGTTTTGTGGAGTGAGCAGTAGAAACATATCCTGTCTCACTAGGACATTTAGTCCTGTTGTTTTGAGGAGTGGTTAGCGGAGTCTACCACTAGGGTATTTACCCTGTTGAGTAGTAGTCAGTAGAAACGTATCCTGGCTACTAGGACTAGTTACTACCCATTGGGCTTGGAAACCCATTGGGGGTGTGCACACTTAAGGTATTAGTTCTGTTCCACTTATATGGGATATTTGCGTAGTGTTCAATTGAGTGAGTACTGTTCACTAGGGCTTATTGAATAAGACCCTGCCCATCATTTGGTTGGTTTAAATGGAATTTTTGCGTAGTGTTCAGTAGAGTGATTACTGTTCACTAGGGCTTAAGTAATTAAGACCCTGCCCATTATTTGAGATTGAATGGGATTTTGTGTAGTGTCCAGTATGGTGATTACTGTTCACTAGGGCTTGATGAAACAAGACCCTGCCCATTGCATTGGGATTGGTGTTCCTCCATGTTGGAAAAAAATATATTACTTTTGAAAGGTTCCTAAATATCCATTGTGAGAACTACTGATTTGTTATTAAAAATTATGAGTATTGTTGGGAAATTATGGTTGTTGGAAATTCTGAGTATTTCATATTTGAGTTATGTTCTATATGATTATGCTCTATTGGTAATAAAAGATTAAATGTTTAAAGGGTGTATGCTATATGCCAATTATCTGCTCCTATGTGCTATGTGCAAATATGTTTTACGGGGTGAAGTAGATCTTACAAGCTTAATGCTGAATTTGTGTGTTTCTTTGTTTTCTATTCTTTAATTGTTTTTGCAGGAACTCTTGTATTAGCATTGGGCATGAGAATGAGCGAACCACCTAGAGATATCATTTATTAGTTAGACAGTTGAATTGTTAGTTGTTCATGTACTAGTTCATACATTGAGTTGTTTTAGTTAGCTGTTTTTGGCCTTAGCGTTTTGGGTATAAGAGAAATTCCTGAACGTGGCGGTAGCACTCTCCGTTTCTTTTGGTTTTATTTTGCTTCCGCAATTATATATGTTTTCAACAACAAAAAAAAAAAAGAAAATTGTACGTATTTTCGACAGTTTATGTAGTTTAAGAAATGGGGGTGTTACAGACCAAGTGTGTGATGCATGCCAACGCGGAAAGCAAATAAAATCATCATTCAAATCAAAGACACACGAGTCAACGTCAAGACCGCTAAGCTTACTACATATGGACTTATTTGGACTGGTTGATCCAATAAGTGTAAGTGGTAAGAAATATACTCTCGTTGTTGTTGATGATTTTTCTAGGTACACTTGGACCGTGTTTCTCAAGAAGATAAATGAAGTTGAGCAAGTTTTACCGAAGCTGTTGAAGCAACTACAAAATGAGAAAGAATTGCAAATATCTAAAATACGAACTGATTGCGGAACCGAGTTCGTGAATGGAGTTATACAAGCTTTTTGCAATTCACATGGAATTTCTCATCAATTATCTGCCGCAAGAACACCGCAACAAAACGGTGTTGCCGAAAGAAGAAATTAGACGCTCAAAGAAGTCGCACGAGTGATCATTAGTGCTGCCGGTCTCCCGAAACGATATTGGGCGGAAGCTATCAACACTGCTTGCTACACGCAAAATCGAAGCATGATCCATAAGCAGTACAAGAAGATGCCATA